TTCAAACTTTTACAAACAATTACAAACCTTTACATACAGTTTACAAACTTATACTTATTACATGTTCAAACATTTTTGGATGACAAATACCAACACTAAAATACTTATGAACTCACCAGCTTAATGCTGATAAACTCTTTCAAAATAACTTGTATTCTCAGGTCATCAGTAGACAGGTACCGAGGCCAGCTTTTGAGAAGATGGAGCGCATTCAAGACTCATCTTATTATTTTGATATACATTATTTTTGGTGTCTATACTATACAGAACATGCTTGTATTAAAATTATATATTTAATGCAATGGATGATGTTGTTTGCTTGTTTACATTTACTGTGTTGTGATACTTTACATGACCTCCTCCGCCCCGGAACGTTTCCGCCGTTCTTGGTTTTGGGGTGTGACAAAGAGTTACGCGGATAGGCGTCAATCGGAGCTCGAGTTTCAGGTCGGGGATCTTGTGCTCCTAAAGGTGTCTCCTTGGAAAGGAGTGATCCGTTTCAGGAAGAGGGGAAAGCTACAGCCCCGGTATATTGGGTCGTTTAAGGTGATCACGAGGGTGCTCAGAGTAGCATATCGTTTGGAGTTACCTGCGGAGTTGGACCAGATTCATGATACCTTCCACGTGTCGCAGCTAAGGAAGTGTATATATAGCCAAAGAGTCGACAGTGGTACCATTAGAGGATATCCAGGTGGACGCGAGTCTGAATTATGCTGAGAAGCCGATCGCAATCTTGGATTAAAGATCAAGGTTCTGAGGAGCAAGGAAGTGCCCCTTGTGCAAGTCCAGTGGCAACATCGGAAAGGGTCCGAGCTGACTTGGGAGCCGGAGTCGGAGATGCGGGAGCAGCATTCGGAGTTGTTTTCGACATGAGACTTCGAGGGCGAAGTCTGATTCTAGTGGGCGAGAATTGTAACATCCGGAATCCCATGTATCTTATTTTATGCATTTATATTGAGTTTTTAGAGATAGACTCAACCAAGTAGGCGCTCAAACTCGTCGAGTAGGATCGCGGATGGTCGGACTGATTTAATGGCGGACTCGGCAAGTCCATTCGTGGACTCGGCGAGTCCATGCTGTTTAATGAAACCCTAATCCCCGGGGTTTGGGACCTATTTAAAGGGGCTTATAGCCACCATTTGCGGCTACCAGACCCCTGAGAGGAACCCTAAGAGATCCAAAGTATTTGTGAGGAAGAAGAGGTCATTTTTTATCTTTGTGTGGGTGTTTCTGCAAGAAGAAGGTGGCCAAGGCAAGAGGGAACAAAAGAAGGCGATATTTTGTGGATTTCAGAGGCTAAGGACTTCGTTCTGAGGTATATATTTCGATCCTTCTTCAGTTTGGTGTTAATCCTTGAGAGTTAGGGTTTCTAGCCCCTTTAGAGTATGGATTGTGGTGCAATTGGTCCCTTCTTGTGTTGAGACTTTGGATCTGGATCCAAAGTGGTCCAAAGACCTTAACTCCTCGATCTTTATGAGTGTCTTTGGGAGATAAGAGTTTGGGATGGCATATTGGGGCCATTTCTTCAAATAGAGTCATTAGGTCTTTGCATGGGCATCAAGATTCAAACTTTACGTGTTTATTTTGCTTAAGGAGGCCAGATCTATGGGTTAGAGGAACGAATCTGACCTTAGGAGGTCATTTGAGTTTGAGCATGGCTTGAACTCGTCGAGTTCAAGAACAGACTCGGTGAGTAGGATGGTTCCCCCCCCCCCCACCCATCAATCATGCAGATGGTAACTCGCTGAGTTGGGGAAGTGACTCAGTGAGTCATTGGGGATTTTGAGGACGTAAGTTCATGGCTAAACTCGCCAAGTCACAATTGTGCACTCGGTGAGTCTGGTCAAAGGTTTGACCGTTGATTTTTGTTGACATTTAGGGTTTGGTCAACTTTAGAGTATTTGAGCCTTGAGAGGGGTAAAATGGTCTTTTACCCTCCAAAGAGTGCTAAGAGAGGGAATGGTCTAGCCTTGGGAAATGTGTTGATGTCGAGTGTTTATTTTCGTATGATTAGGCGGAGTCTAGATCCTATTTCACGGAGTCCGAGATTTCCGAGTTACCGAGTTACACGAGGTGAGTCTTCTCACTATACATTACCTAGAGTGGTATTATGAGGTTACCGGAAGGTCTTATGTGCTAAGTATGAGATATGTGCCATGTATGAGATTATGTGTTATTTGATGTAAGTAGGATATATAATTGTATAGACCGGACCGGAGGGTCCAAAGATTCAGACCGGGCTGGAAGGCCTAACAAGCTATGACCGGACCAGAGGGTCCAACGAGCTACTGGACCGGAGGGTCCCGCTGAGACACATCGACCGGAGGGTCGTACAGTATCCTCGAGTGGCGTATGTGTTGTATGTGGTATTTTGGGGAACTCACTAAGCATTTATGCTTATAGTTGTTGTGTTATGTGTTTCAGGTACTAGCGATGACCATGGAAAGGTGCTGATGTGAACCGTACACACAGAAAGGAGATTTGATCTGTGATCTTGGGATATGTTTGATTTGATAACTATTGTGGAATACTTTTTGAGAATGTTTTATATTTAAAATTTGGTTGTTGAAAAATAAAAAATTTTGTTTTGAAAATCTCGTTGTTACACCCTGTGTAAGTCTTTGTACGCCTCGCGTACTGACCTAAGGCCCCCGATCTTCATCATCGAGTATGCTGAGCGTACCTAAGGGGGTACGTCACATGTACGTGCATTAATGGGCTTTTATGGATCTTATAGTTTTGGGCCTTATTTGTTTTAGGCTTTGGCCTTGGTTGTGATTCTTGATGGCCCAGGGGTAAATTGGTCATTTTACCCCAAGTTTGGATTATTGATCATGGGTTGGAATTCAGTTCCTTATTTGATGTTATTTTGGTAATGCTAGCTTGGGAAGTCGTCAAGACAGCTGTAGGGATGTCAAAAAAACTCGTGGAACCCCGATTCCGTAGGGCCCCCGTCCCGTATGGGGGCATTTGTAGAAAAAAAATCAGGGGCGGGGGCAAAGGTAACTCTCATTTTTATTTCGGGGGCGGGAGTTGGTAGTCCCGTCCCGAAACCCCCGTGGGGGTCCCATTAATAAATTATATAAATTGACATATATTAATTATATACATATAATAAATAATAAAATGATTTTTACAAACAAAAATTCAATAAAAAAAACATGTTTTTAAATTGTTTGTAACATGTAAAATGATGCTATAAATATCTATTTGTTACTCAAAAATAGTTTTTTTTAGGTCAAAAAAAAACTTCTTTTAATCCAAATAAGGTAGCCCAAAGTCAATAATGATTTTGAAGATAAAAAGATATTTAAAAAGCTTGAAGAAGCTGACAACTTTTTTGTTAATTTATTATTTATGAACTTGCTCATTATTATTATCCTAACAAAAACATATTACTTTTTTTAATAAAAAGTTTGAGAACATAGATTGAATTTTTGCTCTTTAGATTGTGTTTATTAATTTTTATTTATGTCAATATTGGTTAGTTTATATATTGATATGTTAATTGTTCGTACGACATAATTAAAATCTCTTTCAAACAACACTTCAGAAACATAATTAGTTTAAAAAAATATATTTGATAATTATTATTTTATTTTATTATTTTATAATTATTAATTAACTTTGACGTAACGGACATAAACATTAAAAAAAATCAACTATTGACAACTTTATATAAAAAAGGGTAAATTACTCGAATGCTCCCTATGGTTTAGGGTAATTTGCGCATTTGATCCATAATTTATATTTTTAACTCGGAAGGTCCCTATTGTTTGTTTTTGTTACGCGCTTGGTTCATATCATACATAAAAAGACTATTTTACCTTTGATTTTTTAATCTATTTAAATAGACACACCCCCAATCCCACCCCTTTCACTTTATCTTACCTGCCCCATCATTTTTTTGTATTTAAATAATAGTCATTTTGGGTAAGACAAGGACCAAGCGTGTAACAAAAACAAACATTAGGGACCAAGCGCGTAACAAAAACAAACAGTAGGGACCTTCCGAGTTAAAAAAATAAGTTAGGGACCAAACGCGCAAATTACCCAAACCATAGGAACCATTCGTGTAATTTACTCTATAAAAAAATATCAAGTTTTTTTCAAGATATAAAGAGATTGGTTCCGGCCCCTTATTTTTAATGTGTGTTCCACCCCCTTCAATTTGGATTAGATTTTGGATATTTAGATTTTTGGATTGGTTTCAACAAAACCGAATTATTATTTTGAATTTCGGATTTATTTTGGTTTATAAAATAAGAACAAAAAAAAAACCCCTTCAATTTGGATTAGATTTTGGATATTTAGATTTTTGGATTGGTTTCAACAAAACCGAATTATTATTTTGAATTTCGGATTGATTTTGGTTTATAAAATAAGAATAAAAAAACACTGAATAATATATATATATATATATATATATATATATATATATATATATATATATATATATATATATATATATATATATATCATTTAATAGATTAGAAAATTTCTATCAAATATAATACCTTAAGTACTTATTACAAGTTTTTTGTTTATGAAATATCAAATATTATTATCATTATCCTATCAACATCACCCACATCCAAATTGGCGTAAGCATCTCTTTCCCAAAGCCCGAAACGAACGTTAAATTTGTATGTAATTTCTTTGATTTTGTACAACAATTTATATTCGGATTTTAAATGATGTATATTTAATTTAGATTTTATATGATAGTTTGTATTTTTATAATTATTTTATCCAGTACAAGAGACAACATAAAGGTTATATAATCATTTTCATCATTCAGCACAATCAGAGAAATAACATAACTCAGTCAGATATGGACTTGGCCAGCTTCTAACTCAGTAAATAACTATCAAACGACCCCTTAACTATAATGTTTAATTTTATATAATTCAAAAAGATTGGCTCCTCGTTCCCGAGTTTAACAAAAGAAAAAAAACAAAAGAGAAAAGAAAGTCAAGAGATAAAAGAAGAGAAAGGAAAGGAAAACAAAATTTTCTTTCGTGTTCCTGAGTTTGAGAAAAGTGGAAGGAAAATGAATCATTTTGTTCTTTCTTTCCAAATCCTCCCAAATCGGAAGGAAAGTTAGGTGAGAAAGTGATCCTTCCATTTCCCTCCACTTCCTTCCACTTCTTTCCTTTAATGAAACTCGGGAACACCAATCTCTTTTATTTTCTTCTCATTTCCACTAATTTCCTTTCCTTTCTCTCGCTAAGTTGAACTCGGGAACATGGTGTAAAAGAGATAATAAAGTTTCTCGTTAATTCTCATCTTTGTAGAAACTTGCCAATGGATTATTTTCTTTTTTTCTTCAATTTCCCCACTGCGTGCGCCATCATTTTTTAACCATCTTCTAAATATTATTTTGCTACAGTTTATCTAATGAAAAAAAAAAACAATGCTTTAGGTGGCTAGGCAGTGGTCAAAGGTGAGGCAAAAGCAGCATCTTCAACGGTATTGTTATTCAAGGCAACGGGTGTGAGAATTTGAATAAGTTGGTGGTAAATAATGCAATGAAGCTAATCACTGCGTCATTACTTACTTATGAAGAAATTAAAATTCCATATTTACATAGTGGCATATCAATCAAATGATGATACGAAGAGAAATTACATACAGGGAGGGGAATGGAATCCTACAAGTTAGTCTCCAGGAATGCTTGAATTGCCAACCCCGCCGCCCAAACATCATCTTCTAATACATGCTCTTCTGGGGAATGACTAATCCCTCCACGACACCTAACAAATAGCATACCAACCTATCCAACAAAAACAGACCAAACCCCATCACGTGAGATTCTTTTTTTTTCTTCTCTTTAATAATGAAATGAAGGACAAGATATAGACCGACTGACTGGGTTGATGTCAATAGAATAGAAACTGCAAATCTTTGTCTTGCCCAAAGCTCAAACAAGGTTAGAAAGGGACTGATGCTCGATATTTCATCTATGTAAAAGACGCAAATACCCTCTCTCGTATATGTACAACTGGACAAAAACTGTCCCACCCAAAAAAGTGAAACAAGGTGGGATAGGACTCGACCTCAATCTTTGCCATTAATGCCCTCGTCATTGGAAACATCCCAACAAAACTTGTCCAGTCCCATCCCATTCCGAATAACAAAAGCAGCCTTGTTACAAAAGATTGAACGGAACTAGAGAATAGACAAGAAATCTAGGGATATATTTGATGATGAGGATGCGGAGGGCATTTAGGTCTTTTGCACAAACGAGAGATCGAGAGCGAGTCCCTTTCCCAACTTGTCTCGCCATTTTGGATTGGAGAAGAAAAAAGTAAAAATTTTGTCCTCTAATGTCGTTAAGTGGAGATCAAACCTTGGTCAAATGAGACATGGCCATTGCATCATGGCCTGCACCACTCATGAGTACTGGCACATCACCAATATCTTCACCCGTCATTCTCTTCAAAGCAGTGTAGGTAGCAGATTTCAGCTGTGAATTTAATCCACCATCACAATTTACAGCATCTGCATCATGCTGAACACAATTCACAATAACAAGTTATTTATGCTACATATGTGTCAGGGAAGAAAGTAGAAAATGCACCTTACGGTCCAGGAAGCAAGAAACAGAACGACCATCACATATTCTATGCATCTGATTTGACAATTCGTATATGATGGCCTCCCTTCCTATGTCATCTATAGTACGGATATCTATAGTAAATGATACCTGAAAATGTAATAATGATTATCATCATTTGAGTATTATTATTATTATTATTATTATTATTATTATTAATATTACTCCCTCCGTCCCAAAATTATTGTCCACGTTTGATTTTTGAAGTCTTTCCATGTCAACTTTGACCATATATAACTTTATTTGTATTATATAATTTTTGATGAAACTTATAACAATAAAAATACACTTAAAAAACAATCTATTCATATATCTTGCATAAAAAATTATATAACAAAAAGTAAATTATTTAAGATCAAATTTGAACAAAAAAACTTAAAAAGTCAAACGTGGACAGTAATGTTGGGACGGAGGGAGTATTAATATTATTATTATTATTATTATTATTATAAGGGTTAAATGCAGAAAAAATAGCAATGTACTTTCATCAGTTCTATTATTATAGCATCCTACTTTATTTTTTTCTACTATAGCAACATGCTTTAAAAAACCCACTCAATTATAGCCAAAAAGAATCCAAATACAAACTATAAAACAATTTTCAATGCTATAATATGGCAGATTTTTTGAAGTAAAATCGTGTATTAGAAAGAAATTGAAAGTAGGAATTAGGATGATATAATATAAAAATAAGTAAAGGTAAGGTAAGCCTTATGATTATTGTTATTATAATTCGCACAAACGCACCTGGCCTGGTATGACATTACTTGCACTGGGCCAGGTTGATATCTCACCAACTGTACAAACAAGTGATCCTGAAAGAGATTCAATGGAGAAGGCATTGCAGTGCCCATTACTTGAAATAAAATCCTGTGGGTGTTTACATAGGCTTTCTAATAATACAATTAATTCAGCTGCAGCAACCATAGGGTCTTGGCGCATCGACATGGGAACTGTTCCAGCATGTCCTTGTGATCCTCTCACTGTCAGCTGCAATTATGCATATAAACTTTATCTTTTAATTTCACAAAAAAATTAACAAACCTCTCCCTTATTCCTTATAAATATATCACATATACATCTAAAGGCCAAGTCCAATACATCACTAGGGTTGTTCACTATTTGGATAAAACCACGAAATGTCCAATTGGACAATTTGGATCAGACTACTTAATTCGGATATTCAGATTTTTGGATTGGTTTCAACAAAACCGAATTATTATTTTGAATTTTGGATTGGTTTTGGTTTATAAAATAAGAACCAAATAGTAAAAAAAAAAAAAAAAAAAAAAAAAAAAAAAAAACAGAATAATTTATTATTTATTTTTAATTTTTAATATATATCTTTAACCATTTATATATGTAATAAAATAAAAAAAATAAAAAAAAAACTTAATAGATTAGAAAATTTCATCCAATATAATACCTTAAGAAGTACTTATAAAAAGTTTTTTGTCTATGAAATATCAAATATTATTAGCATTATCCTATCAACATAAAATCTAATATATATATATATATATATATATATATATATATATATATATATATATATATATATATATAATTTTAGCTTAAAATACAACAAAGAATGTTAAAACATAATTTTTTTAAATACAAAAATATAGATATCATAATTAAATATCTATAATTTTCAATTTTCAATAAATAGTTATAATAAACATTTCGAGAGACTAGAGAGAATACAAAAAGTATAATTTATAATTTTGACTCATTGACATTAGTTCGAGGTGCAATTCAGTACATGCAAATTGCATTTGCACGATAGACTACCAAATATCAATGATAAGCATACCTTTAACCGTGTCTGTCCAGCAATACCTTTTACCACAGCAAGAGGAAGACCAATTGATTCAAGTACAGGTCCCTGTTCGATGTGAACCTACACAATAATAACAACAATAAATCATAAATGCCCAAAATGCTTTTAACATCTAAGCATCATAATCTGATGTAGGAAACCCTTTACGGCCCGTGTATTTTTGGGCTACAAAATTGGAATGCAAGTTAGGGTTTATGGATTTATTGGTTTAAGCAAAAAATGTCCCAACTCCTCTCACGTTTAAAACGATGAATATTATGAAAATAGTATGTCAAAATCGAAAGGTATAAAATGGTCATTTAGTCTCATTCAGATGGTTTATTCAGTCTAGAAAAGAATTTATCCCAACAGACATCACTAACCATTCAGCCACTTCACGAATATAGGACTTGATGGGAAAAGTACGACCCCTTTTTTTCAATTTTCATTACCTTGTCCATTCCATTCCATCCAATCAAAAAATAACGAATTTTTCAATATGAATAGCTATTGGATTTGTATAGAATTTATTTACCTCCACATAGCCCAAAACAGACTCAGGTTCGTATTTGATCTGACTGAGGTTTTCTTCTGTAGTGTCTATCAAGTTCTCTTTTAAAACATTTTGCACTGTCAAGCCACTGAAATTTTTTTCTGTAAGTTTCACTTAGGATTCAGACACATGACAACAGAGTAAATCATCACTCTACCTTTTGTCAGGTACCTGCAATGTTGAAGCAGGAAGTACCCCTGCAAGAGCTGCACTTCCTAGAAATGTAGATTGAAACCTAACTCCTTCTTCATCACTAAACGCAATTACCTGCAGTATCTCAAGTCTAAGAATGACAAACACCAAAGCCTTGATACTTTTCTACAAGAAAGAACATGCATTTTTTTTTATTAAAGCATGCTACTTTCATATCCTCCTCTTACAGCATTGTATTTTGAACCATCTACCCAATTATAGCAATGTCATCCACATACAAAGCAATTTTCATTGCTATTATTATTTGGATTTTTCAAAGTACAATGTCATAATAAGAAAAAAAAAACTTGAAAGTACAATGCTATATTAGACCCATAAATCATAAACACAAGCTACCTATGCTTCACATGACTTATAAATCATAAATGCCCAAAATGTTTTTAACATCTAAGCATTAAGCACATGTTCTTTTTAGTTAGACCTGCTGAATTATATGTTCATATCGGACCCTACAATATAGTATATAACCTTAGTATAGCATTCACACAAGGGAAACGGTTAAATGCATAACATAGCAATGTACTTTCATTTATTTGTGTATTATAGCATAATACCTCCACTACAACATTGTACTTGTAATTTTGTTTTATTGTACTTTGTGAAATCTAGCATATTATGTACATTTTTGGACAGCATACTTTAAAAAACCAACCCAATTATATCATAGCAGTGAAGCATTGGTTTGTATTTGCATGACATTGCTATAATTGGGTAGATTTTCAAAGTATAATGTTGGAATGGAAGAAGAGAAAGTATGATGCTATAATAAACAAAGTAAAGTACGTCGATATTTCTTGCATTTAACCCAACTCAACCCATAAAAGAAAAAATACAAAAATTTGAACTTACCTCAACCGGATGTTGTAGATACCTTGACCTTCCTGTTACATTTAACACCTTTAAAGCTGATATAGCCGATATTATGCCAAGAGTTCCATCAAACATACCAGCATCAACAACAGTATCCTGTTGAGAGAGAGGAAAAAGAACTCCACCACTTAGGAACAGAAATACTTAAGATAGAAAAAGGCAAAGCGAACTATACAAAAAACCCATTACATCATCAACCTTAAACCTACAAAAAATAATATGGAAAAATTATTTGTATATAATTTTTTGTCATTTCAGCCATTACTAACCTACAAAACCTGGTTAGCAAGTTTGATTTGCTTACATGAGCAATTTTTTTTATGAGGTGACATCTGATGTCCACATAAGCATGTGTTATACTTATGGACACTTAAAAACAATAGTTTTTGACACTTTTACACACGTATGTGGCCATGTCAGATGCCAACTCGTTGAAAAATGTCCAAGTGAGAGCTGCTTTTTTAGGTCAATAATGGCTGAAATGAAGAGAAAAAGTGAATAAAAAACTCATAATGGCTTTTTAGGTAAAAAGTTGATAATGTGTAATTTTTCCTAAAACGTTAAAATCTTGTTATTAATAAGTATTAAGGTGATTACTCACCAAATGAGAACCGATTAGAAGAGCCTTGTTGCTAGCATTTGGTGGTTGAACTCTACCATGCACATTCCCCAATCCATCCACCCACCTGGAAATGGAAACGGAAATTAATGGTGGTCTTAGTAGAGATGTTTCTCAAAATATTAGGACCCCAAAAAGAAAAAGGTGGGACAGGGAGTGTCGCTATCTATGGAAAAGAGGTAAATGCCCTCCTCATCCACATCACCAAAAGTAGCCCTAAGAAGCTTGTCAAGTCCCGTCCTGTGTAGCAAGTAAGATGAAGAACAGACAATGAGTGAACAGAATCTCTCACGTTGTCAAACCAGCATCCTCCATCCACGTTCTGATAAGATTCCCAGCCCTGATGGAAGCTGGGCTCAAGAAAGTCCTCTCCAGATACCCATGGCCATCACTTACCTAATATTCAATGCGACAAATGGTTGGTTCGTCAGTAAAAATATGAATATCTCTTTTCAAGTATCCAAGCAATCTTTTTTTTTTTTTTTTTGTAAAAAGAAAGAGATAAAACAATCAAGTCTTTATATATAAAAGATGTAATTTCTTCATATGTTATACCAACAACAAACCTCATGACTCTGTTTACACAACACATTTTCTTAAAGTGGGAGGTAAGTTCACACAGCAGCAGCGGCATTCCCTCTGCTCTGCTACATGAGGAGCATACCACTCTCATTTTTAAATGTCCCATGAGAGTTTCAACATATTCTTTTATCATAAGTTTTCAAGAGAATATTTATTATTTGACAATTATCGCCGTTACAAAAAGATGATGTCATGATTTCGATCAAGAAGATTCAATTCATCTCTCATTATGCATAAATTTTCAACCAATATTTTGTAAAGTATATTTTTATGGTTCACATAATACAAGTATTTAATACAAGAATTGACAAGGTGGTTAAGAATTAGCACAGTTAATGAAGACTATGACTCTCCATATACATACAGCAACATGGTTTTCAAGACCGCCTAATTAAAGTAAAGAAGACAAATCCGAATTGAAGACATTTACCTTTCCGAGCTCGTAAATTCTTGCTACGGCCTCATCTCTTAGAATTTCAGGAAACAAATCATTCTTGGGACCTTCAATATATTCAACACAGGGTAATATAACTATATAAGGGGAATATTGCAAATCATATATCAAGCCTTACTGAATAAAACTGTACTTCTTATATCCCTAAAAGATTTCTTACCCTTTAACCCTGAATCAAGCAAAAAGAAGAATATTAGAATAAAAATTAGTTAGAACCTATATTATAACAATATGTATCCACCGTCACAAAGCAAACTTGATCAAACATAGTTATAGTAGTAATAATAAGAATAATAATAATATAATAATTTCTTCTGTTAATTTGAAACCTCTTCATTCCGTGACAGTTAGTACAAAAAATTCTTGCAGGAATCATCTAACCTAAAACAACTGCTTTTGATTATCAGAACAGTATTTGATGCTAGGTGTTATTTATAGTTGAAAATCACAGCAAAAAGCGAACAAAATCCATTTCTGTTGAAAATAAGCTGATTCGATCGATATTTGAAAAGTGAAGATCAATAAAATCAGTTAAACGCGACAACGATTCAGAACACCAACACATGAAATGTCAAAAATGAGATTTTGAATGGAGTTAGAATTACTGAAAACGATGATAACCAGAAGCAATTAAAATTATTAGTTGTAGTTAATCCAAATAGCATAAAACCGGAGGAAGATAAATTTTGAAAAAAGAGATGAAAATACCGTCGGGGATGTGCGTAGAACAGTCAGCCGATGACATAGAAAGCAAAAGGATAACGATGCGGAAAAGTGGGAAAACACACGGAATCAATTTGGAAGAATTATAGAGTTCGTTAATTGCAGAGTGAGACGCCATGGCTGAGGCTGCAAGCTCGCAAGCAGAGAAGAGAGCAAGCTGGCTGGCTGCTGGCCACGCAACTCTCTGAAATGACTCTACTCTACTGCTTTTGCCCGTGGATTACTATCACAGCCAGCCCACCACTTTATGGACAAGTGGTAAAATTTCAGGAAAACCCATCTAGTTTAATAAATTCCATATTTCACCACAAAAGAAAACTTTTTTTAAGGTCGCATGCTAGTAAATTCCATATACCATGTACAATAATGTTGTTGGAGAAATTACTCTAATATTGTAGATTAGAGAAATGAGGGAAAATGACTTACGAGTCCAATGAAGTTTCCAAACCGTTTAAAAAACTTTAATTATGTTTTGTCTGTTCAAAAAAATCCAACGAACTATACTTTTGTTTAAAAAATGCTAACTAAGTTACACTTTCCTGAAAGTCAAATAAGAAAAACAGATGACATGGCTTATTACCGTATCGGAAAAATGACTTGTTAGACTAACAAAGTTTCCAAAACGTTTAAAAAACATCAATCATGTTTTGACTGTTAAAAAAAACCCAACGAACTTAAATAAAACAAAATTGTGATTTTTTGAACGGTTTGGAACTTTGGTGGACTTTTTAGACAAAAGGTTAAGTTCGTTGGGTTTTTTTTGAACAAACAAAACATTATTGAGGTTTTATGGGAGAACGAAAAGCACTTAAAAAACGGTTTGACATGTAAAAGTATGAAGTTCGTGAACATGTATTAAAAAGTTTACGATGGACCGTAACATTATGGCAAACAACGAGTGGGGGATTGATTTAAACAGTCATGTCAAAATGTCTATATTCAAGGCTTTGAATTCAACATTTTGTGTATTTTATCGGTATTTTTTGTTTTATTTATATTGTGTTTATTAGAGTAATCGGTATGGGTCTCGCAGTTGCACTGATAGACCTATGTTGCCTCCCTTAACATTGTTAAGGAGATGTGAACACCCCCTCCCCCCTTCAACGTCAGTTTCTTCCAATTGCCACTCCAACGCCACTTGACGCTTGTTTCTCTCTTCTTCCTCTCTGTTTTTCATCTTTCTTGGTTTCACGACTGCGTTTTCATGGACAAACACCATCCCCACAATGACATTGAAGGCTCAATAATGATGTGGTATCGTGGTAACAAGTACCCATACCGAGCAGTCTTAGGTAAATTGGAAGCTTGTCTAATTATGCCTATCATGTTAAGTTTTTTTCCGAAGCTACAGTTGGTAACCATAATTTTATTATGTCCCATTTATATTTATGCAGATGATGTTATTTTTTGGGGTGACTGGTCTCAATAAAATGTGGATAATGTGGTGCGTATTCTTCATTTTTTTTACCTGACTTCGGGCCTTCGTCTAAATTTACACAAGTCTAATTTGTTTGGGTTAAGGGTAAATGATGATGAGGTCACTTTGTTGGTAGAGGGGGCTGGTTGCAAGGCAGGTAAATTTCCTTCTGTTTACCTTGGTATTCTCGTTGTTGAGAACATAGCTAGAGTTACAGGGTGGACATCAATTATTCGGAAATTTGATGAAAGACTTGTCAAATGGAAAATTCTTTTACTTTCTATTGGAACGAGATTAATGGTTTTTAAAGGTTGTTTTAGGCTCTCTCTATGGATTTATTTCTTCTTTATTTTCCTTCTGCCAACTAGTGCTAAACAAAATACGTGGAGAGTTTGAGTTCTCATTTATTAAAGGGTCTGATACTGATGTCTTGGGTGAAATGGGACCTCATTATGGCCTCTAGAGATAAAGGAGGTTTAGACATTGGTAGGCTGGGGATTTTTAATCATGCTCTTCTCCAAAACTGACAATAGAGATATCTTACTGATAAGGGTTCTTTATG